GTCTCTATCAAATGGTGATAATTAATGTGTTTTTAACTTTATTTTGGATGACGGTGGTAATAGTAACATATTTTTCTTCGATAGAGGCAATAGTCTCTAACTACACATTTGCTTGTTTTATGTTGAGTACACCAATGGCTGAACTGGTTGCATTTAGCAAAATCCTGATATTTGATATAAACATATAGTTTTAGTTGATGTTGGAATATTTTCATTGATTGAAGGCCAACGAAAATTTTAGTTGTTGTTAATGTTATTTACAATTACTTTTCTTCACTTCTTACAATTATTTATAGTAGTGGGTAAGATTTGCTTGTGGTATGATGTGAATGCGTGATAGTTAGTCCATGTTTGATACACATTCTTTCAAAATACATTTTTTTAAGAGAAAAACCACTTGTACAGTCTTTAATGGACCATACATTTTACAGCCCACACTGATTAGTGTAGGCCCCACTGATTAAGCTGTAAAGTGTGTTGGTATTTACAGTCCCAAAATCACAAAAGAATAACCAAAACAAAACCACAACACAAAGAATTTTCGCCCTAAGGCCCGGATGTTCACCAGTAAAGGCTACTCACCCGTTGAGCATACACCGGAGTGATTATCGCTCTAATCCACTAGAATCCAACAAAGTTATCAAGTACAGATCAGAGACCCAAAAAATCACTCGACTCAAACCCTCAGCCCAAATCTTACTATTTCTCTCTTTTACAGATTACAACACAGTAACCCAGATCTGTGCTCACCAAGAACACAAGAATCACACCAGAATCGTAATCTATACAAAGATATCACCAAGATTATCTAACCTCAAGATTACAAGGTGAAAACCAAAGGTTTTCATCGACAAAGAAAAAACTACAGAGAGAGGAACCGTCTAGAGAAAACCCTAGAAAATGAACTGATGATCCAAACAATGGAAGAGTCTCGAATATGTATAGTCACCATGCATCCAGCGGTTCAGCCACAGCCACGTGTCACAATCTCAGCCATTTGCTTAACAAACCAAAGTCGCATAACCAGAAAACGCGAGATTACACATGTGGGCCAATAACCGGGTCACACTCAAATACAAGTAACA